CTATCGACAGTACTCGGGGACCTCTAGTGATCAAGACTAGGGTAAAAATCTGCCGAAGTTCCCCTTTAAGTTGCAGGCTGTAAACCCAAAACAATGACCTCAAAAATGTAAAAACGCTTTGTAAAACCGAGGGGAATTGCAGAGTCATGGTGATAAATCTCTGTGGGTTTGTCACTATAAGTAACCCCTCTAACATTACACGTAATGGCACATTTGAGCCATTGTAAATAAATAAATATTGATTAGAGCAGCTTTAATAGTTTGTGTGTGTGTGTTTACCTGGGATGGAATAAGTATAGTTCACCAAGTCCTGGACATACACTTGCTTCTCTCCTTTCTCCATAAGCCCTTCCATGATCTGACATGGAGCCGACTGGGTGTGGATCACCTTGCTACTTCCATCCCCAAAATCCCATCTACATGACATACATGGACATTTTGAATAACCATACAAAATACAACTTTAAAAGTACAATGCATTTCCTGTGGTAGTCTTTGTTTTAAGTCCAAGGGTATACAATATGCCATCCAAGTGATTTTGTCTGAGGATTTCTGAGGGCTATTTATGAAAAATGCAATGCCTTACCTAAAGGTGACTGGCAGGGAGATGTCCACCTTGACCCTGAGGGTGAAGAGGTGTGTAGCACCCACAGCTACGACCTCCCTGACTAACAGAAACTCAAGCTCAGCCAGTGGGGTAATTTCATCGGCAGTCAGGAGAATTTGCTGGCTCTGGGAGCTCACAGGGTTGGAAGCGGTCACCTACCACAAAGATAGCAAGTTACTTTTTCTCTCTTTTAGTATTTATGGGGATCTGGTTAAATCTCAAAATGTAATTTAGAAATACATTATGATGTTTAATTTTAAAGTAATTTTTTGGGCCTTTTTATTGCCTTTATTTGATAGGGACAGCTGAAGATAGACAGGAAAGGGGGGTAGAGAGAGGGGATGACACGCAGCAAAGGGCCACAGGTCAGATTCGAACACTGGGCCGCTGCAGCAAGGACTCAGCCTCAGTACATAGGTGGCCAGCTCTACCCACTGAGCTAACCAGGCACACATGATGTTTACTTTTAATTTTTTATTATATTTTAAAAAATAGGATCAAAAATAAGTAACTAAGCAGATTTAACATCAAAGAGAAAAATAATGTACCTTACCTTTAGCTTATACTCTGCAGGCTTCTTGAACACTACACTGTAAGATTCTCCTTCATAGGCAAACTCCTCCAGGTTGTCAATCACCCATGTGAATTTTACTGAGGAACCACCCTGCACTTTGGCTATAAATGACTAAAATGTAAAAACACAAGAAAAAATACACCAAATTGAGGGAATATATAATCAAACTAAGGTGCGTTTTAATTTTAATTTTACATGTCACCATATATCCTTGCACAAAATGTGCAAGGATATATGGTCTACAGACATGCTTGGTGTTTTGAAACTGTTTAGCACTAGCAGTGTTTAGAGAAGAATTATTAAAAAATACATAACACACAATACATAATAATATGTATTTTGTATTATGTATTTTTGTGTAAGACTAATTAACTAAATTAAAAAGCTGGTCATGTGACCCAGATGCAGCTTATCTGTAACACCTGTTAATGTTCATGTACTTTTGCTGAGTGAACCTAAGGAAGCTACTGGCGAAATGTGTTGTTTGCTCCTAATAAATCCCAGTAAAATCATTCCAGTGTGCGGTGGCTAATTGGTTAAAAAGGCAGAATGTGTGTGTGTTGTTAATTCATTTTTGCATTCTCACCTGTGGAGTTTCTACGAGCATCCTCAGGCATCCATGTGGCTCAACACTAAGTCCCGTCACTGCCTCATAGCCACAAACCCTCAAACTCACACTCTGAGAGCTTACTGCATCCATCACAGTGATATTCAGCGTTTTAACCCCCACTGAGGGCAACACCAGAGTCACAGAGGAGAACCAGTCATGATTTGACTGTCTCTTACAGCCAGGCCAAGATTGAGCCAGCTCTTCAGGGCAAGATGGAAGGAAGGGGACGCCAGTCTGCAGGACTGGGGCTGACCATGAGCTCCTGGCTCTCTGTCCAGACAGGACCTTGATGACAATAAGTGTTGGGAAGTTGATCTGGACATGAATCTGGTTCTTTTCATCTGGTGCTGGTTGGATCACGATTAGCCCAAACTTAGATCTCAGACTCGGAGTAAAACCAGTTGTCAGGGCCCAAATACCTGGATCTGTGGTTGTCTCTCTGCTGGTGAAGCCAAAGTTATCATCATGCTCTGTACCTCTGTGAAGATTGTCCACATACAGCATCCTCAGGTCACACACCACCCCATCAACCCACTGGCCTTCTTGGGGCAGAGAAGTGAGGCCTCCCTCCCACCAGCGTCCCCACTCTGTCCCCCTAAGGGACATGTAACTCTGGCGCCAAGGGGAGTCTAAAGAGGCTTCACTGTTAAGGCAATGTAGGAATGTTCCAGAGTCGCGAGTGTGTTGTATAGCCACAATATCATCAGGGTACACCATGATCGCTCGATCTGGAAGAAGCAGCTGTTTCAGGAAAAACAAGAAAATGAGTTTTTGTAATCAAACATTATGGGTCCATGATGACTGCAGGAAAAGGTAATTGCATGCAACAAAGGTCAACTCACGCCTATAGTTTGTAGTTCAGAGCTATGGTTTATTCTCAGAGGCATGTCTGCCACCAGGTGGTAAAAGGGTGGTATTGCAGGGTATCTGGGAGGTAAAGCAAAACCACGTTCCCCTGCTGCAGAGTCGTAGGGGCTGCAGGGACTGGTAGTGTGCACACAGGTCTCCATCAAGTGGCACCAGTACTGGCCCATGCTGCAGCCCCCTGTGGTGTTACACAGCGGTACTGCTGAGCAGCAGCTGAAAGGATTCAGGAGAGAGCTGCAACCTGAGGAGCAAAGAGAGATTATTACCTATAATACTGAACGAACAGGAGCTTTCAGAAAACTGTTGTACTGTACCTGGAGGTACCAGGTGGTGATTAGGGTTGCAGTAGGGTCGGAGGATCTGGATACGGGCCAGAGAAGACACTGGATTGGGCTGGACCACCAGCTCCACTGATACCAACTGACCAGCGTGACTGAACCAGATCCCCGGGAATAGCTGCATCTGTGGGGGTCAGGGAGCACCAGAATATAAACCAACAATAATCCTCAGGTACAGAGGACCATCATCATGTTCCAAAGTTGTCATTTAAAATGATTTCAAATACATGTTAGTTAGTACTATTAATTATATAAAATGGGATTTTGTTTGAACTTAGTTTCAACCATTTATCCATTACTGTTAGCACTTTTAACCATTTAACCATTACTTCTAGCTATCCATTTGAATTATTTATCATAACCATAACCATTTATACTTTAAGCTGTTTATCTATTACCTTTAAACATTTATAATTTAGTTTCGGTTATTTATCCAATTCTTTGAGCTAATATTTAAACGATTATCCAATATGTTTTGCAATCTGTTTATACTATTTATCCATCACTTGTCCTAACTATTTGAATTATTAATGTATTACCTTAGTAATCTGTCTGTCTTCATGTGCTTTCAACATATAGGCTAGGGTTTGGGTCTTACAGTTGACTCTTTTTGGGGATTTAAAAGAAAATCGTAATATCTATTATAGTTAATTCATTATTAGGTACCTACTCTACAATCTTACCATGTACACCCTGGCAACTGAAAAAATACGATGGGTAATACAACTGCCCCTGGTTGGAGTGGTTTTAGACCACTCATTCCCAGTCTTTTTAGTTTAGTTTAGTTTGTTTTTTTGTTGCCAAGGCATGCCAACCTGTAATCCCTCTTCAGAGGTTTATTAGGTCTACGAGCGGTGAGATGTACAACCAAGGTGTGACGTTCTCGTGACAGACTCTTTGATTTGAATGTTTATCTTCGATCCCTCAGGTTGTGTTTTAGACTGGCAGTGTACTGACCTCCACTGTGCTTTGTCCAATGTCTGGGACATTGGGAATGGGCTGTATCTGAATCTGAGCGTAGATGCCGGTCATGAGAACCAATCCAGTCAGGTAACTGTCCACGGATGGTAAAGACTCTGCATGAAGAGGGATTAACCAAAATCACGTCACGGTACCTTCACGACAAATTTCTAACATTGTTATCCGTACATGAGGATACCACAAAATGGCCATAGTGTTAGTTTCATTCTCCATTATTGTGAGAGAGTGTTTTATATTAATGTGAGACTTACCAGTTACTTCTTTTTCACAGAGGAAGAGGTATCGTCCAGCACACTGACTCTTCCTCCACCGTCCCTTTGTACCCAAAGCCATCTGAGTGCACCCCCCCTGACTCTCGCTGCCTCCAGCCCACAATGCAGGACTTACTGGCTCCATGACCCCAAACTGGTCAGACCCTTCTCCCCCTGAGCCCTTCAGCCATACCCACACAGTGGTTTTTCTACACCAACATGAACACAAAGGGGAAGGGCATATTAATGGATGTAAGCATACATATAATACATGACAGGAGAGATTTTTAAATGTTGTTTGTGATACTCACACTGGAAAGGAGTAGTGGATGAAGTTTTGCAGCTCCAGGCCATCAGCAGATGCCAGATCTCCTCCCTGAATCTCTCTGCATGAATCCTGTGCCTCAGTCCACGAGGATGTCCTCTCAGAGAGCCAATAGCATCGCCAGCTGCCCAGGTGGATCTGTCCACCTGTTGGACAAGGAGTGTCCTCTGGAAGGCAATAAACACACCGAACCAACAGCATGCACGATGAGTCATTTCAAAGGATCATATCAGCTTAATACATGGATAAATACATTTAACTGCAGTCTTGTGAGCATGTTAGAGGAATCAATTTAAAATATCTACTCCTTTTTTTTCATTTAACGGTTATTTCAGCAGCCAAGCCATGTTCAGGTCAATTTGTAAAATGAATTAAACTGAGATGATAAGTCACATGGTGAGAGGAGCAGGTTTAGTTCATTACCAGGTAGTCGCAACAGATAGTACAGGACAGATGTTTCACATTTGTTTTCACATTTTCTTTGATTACACACACTCTCACATTTCACCTGTAATGTTTCATTATGAGATTATGTTATTATTAACTATTGTGACTTATCTGTTGCTCTAATCAGGAAATTTGAGCTGAACATATTAAAATAAACGACACTACGACAGACACCTGGCTTGACGGTTGAAACACTAGAGAACCAAAAACCACAAGTGTTTTAAGTGAGTCGTATTAATTACCATGTAAAATATCCTGTGTAAGTAATTCAAGTTTTAGATTTAGAGGACATGTACTGGAAGAAGCCTGTGGCATGAAGGTTATTCAAATTTATTCAGAAAGTATTCCGATTTTTAAAAAGAGTCTGTTAAGTAAAAGATACCACAATCAAAACTTTGCTTGAATATGAGAACAGAATTATCAGAAAAAATTACTTTATGTATCAAAATTAACAGTACTTGTGGTTTCCTCTGACTGACTAATATTAGATTATTATTACTATAGATGCATTGATGTGTGGGAAGCATTTTACTGTCAGAGTTATCATAGTTGAAGTGGAGCCAGTTTTACATAGTTTATTATTCGATAAGAATATATGTTAAATTAAGATCAATTGAGTAATAATCTAAAAAGTAACTAGTAACTACAGCTGTTAAATTAATGAAGTAGAGTAAAAAGTATAATAATTCCATCCAGATTGTAGTGGACTAGACCTATGAAGGAGCATAAAATGGAAAGTACCTCAAACTTGTACTTAAGTGCAGCACTTGAGTAAACTTTCCACCACTGTTCATTAGTGAACTAAGCAAAGATAGAAAGGTATTTGTGAATGATACTACTGTGAAATAAAAACGATAATACAATAGCTAAAATTGTGAAGTTCATAAAAGTTTGAAATAATTTAATGTATTAAACATCCATTTTACCCCAAAGTAGGTTTATTTTTATGAGCGTTTTATTTATTTATTTTTTGTTTTCTGTTTAAAAATCCTTCAAATTAATATGACAAGGGCTTATCACTCTTGCAGTGTCTGATGAGGTGTGGTGAAGTGGATATTGCTGCATTTTAAGAGCTCAAAAGTCAAAAAGAATTTACGGCAACCACTGTGTTATTGTATGCATTGAACATTACCTGCTGCAAACACAACCACAATACCCTTTCTTTTCTTTGACCATAATTTAAATCTCTACACTCAAATAATAACTCTACTACAAAAAGTTAATTGAAAACTGCATCAAATATAAGACCACAGCAACCACATTCAATTATGACTGACTACATCTCAATCAGAGGGTGTACCCAGCTTATTAGGACAACTAGCAATGAACAACCTCAAAAAACAGTGCAGCAGTGTTCCCAAAAGACTAATTGATGATCACTGTTTCGGGGAAAATGTAGTAGTAACGTTAAAACTTTTATGTCTCAAGGCGTTTAACTGTACAGAAGTATCCAGGTCCAGGGTTGCTGTAGTTAACTCTGAACCCTCCCCTCTCTGAGGAAAAAAAAATGTCCAAAACAAATAAATTATTTTTTGTCTTAATTCAATACAAAATGAAACATCTCACCTCCAGCTGCAGTGATGACAACCACACAAAGAATCCACAGGCTTTGCTTCTGTGACGCAAGTGAACCTGTCATTTTGTAAAGCGCATCCTATCCTCCTGAAGGAAAAATACTCACACTACTGTCTATTCACCACAGAAGCTGATGGACCATCAGTGCATTAAATGTCCCGATTCTTCTCGTCTTCTTTCCTCGACTCATCCTCAGAGTTCCTGTATAAGTTGAAAATGTTGCCTTTCTTTCAGTCCATCTTCCTTACCTTAAACTCCAACTCTGTGCCTCGTACACACGTCCCTCCACTGGCACCCCCCTCCCCTTGTCTTGCAGACACACTATGAGTTATGGCGGTGTGGTCATTTTAAAGGCCTCTTCTTCACTCTCTCTGAACGCCTGGCTGACTTCTACTTTGTCTCTCAGCAACAGCTATAGAAGCAGAGTGGACAGAGGAGGCCAGCGCTGCTCATTACCATGTTGTAAAACCCCTGGCACTCAATAGAAACAGTCAGACTCACTCAGGCAGGGTGCAGCTAAGGGTCCCGACAGAAACAAGCCTCAGAGCAAAGAGTCATTGCGGTGTCAGTGTTGTTAGGCAACAATTTGTTGCATTTTATGTGCTTAGTTTATGTTTTAGGAATTCAGAGGGCTCAGTTTTGCTTGGTTGCCAAGTAGGAAGCAAAGTAAGAAGGTGTTTCAAAGTTCTTTCTGCTGCATTGTGCCCACGGCCTGTTGTCCAAGCACTAACACCAGGACCTCATCACTAACCAAACAAAGGCTCTGTGACGCACATGCAAAAGAAACAGACCTAGTTTTTAAAAGAAAGGATGCCATCTGGGTTGCCTGGAGAGGAACAGATAAAGCAGAGGGCAGTGATAAGGCGCCTAAAGCTGAGAATTTTCAGTCCATTGCTATGGAGACGATTGTATTTCTCTTCGTGAGATAGAACCGTTCTCCTCGCAGGAGCAGCAGATCCAACAGGGGGGAGCTCGATTGGTTGCAAACAATGGTTTCTGCCAATTCCAGCAGTGAAAGTATTAAACTTTTATTCTCTAGTACTGTACTTAGTAATATATTAGTATAATTGTGAGGTAGTGGTCTTGTACTTTTGAGTATTTCCATTTTATGCTATATTAAATATCCACCTCCTATTTAGTGCTGTAGTTGTAGATTGCAACTGCCTCGCTTCACCCTTTCCTTCCAAACACAAAGGAGAAACTATGGTGGCTGCGAAACGTGCAAAAAAAAAACACCAACAAAAAAACACCCCTATCTAGAGCCAGTATCACTGTCATTGTAACACAACAATTCCTATATCCAGCTGATTATACAGTTATAATGAAAACATGAATATTATATTCAATTTTTCCTAAATCCTCCTAAATGTTACATTGGACCTTTAAGCATATGTGCTTTGTGCTAAATGCTAATGTCATGCTAACATGCTAAAAAAAGTTAAGGGCCCACCAAAGTTATTAAATGTTGTCATAAGGAGGACTAGTTGCTGACATATTTAAGTTTGGACCAACAAACTGACTGACATTCCTTGAGCTGGATACTGAAAACTACTAGAACTCACTGTAAAAGCTGCTTGCTTTATAAATGGGTTGACATTACAGGGTTTAAGTATTTCATTCATTTCCAACTCTAGTCTGACTTTAACAATACATCAAATATGATGCTAATGCTGAGATCTGTATGGAGTTTGCCTCAAATCAAATTTGCATTTAAAGAAGGCAACAAAATGATTATTTGTCGGTTAGTAATCCTATTTCCCTATGCTCTTATTAAATGATGAATTAATAATTGGAATAACTTTTCTTTATTGCATTTACTGTTCTCTCATCTCACAAATCATTACTACTTTACCATTTATAGTTTCCATTTCAAACTCACTTAAATTTAAAACAGTTCTGTAATGGAATGAATAAAATGGCCTATTTAACTGAAGCAATAAGTTGTGAAATTTAAAACTTAAATGTGTATAATTAAATAAACTCCAATAATACTCTTACATAATGTTATTAAGATAAGAATAATGTGACAACATATCATAATGATAAGTTGTGTTTTAATATTTTCTAAAATGATCTCACAAATGATTGGTTAATGTAAATATTTTACACAATTTATTCAGATGTTTCCCCTGATCTTTATTTAGTGGTTCATTTATTTTTATTATTTGTTGTATTTATTTATTATTTTAATATTGTACGGTTAATATAAAACAAAAAAGATGAAATAATAATTGTAAATTATCTAAAAATTGTATAATTAAATACATAATTGAATTCAAATTACTTCCTAAATGATTTCCCACAGTAAAGGTGTACAACGCTCCCTGCTGTTATGGCAGATACAAACACTAGGTGGCGGCAGTGCGACATTAAACTGAATGTGATCCAGAACACCAACACGACGAGGAAGAGGAACAAACAGGAAGATGAAGAAGGCAGCTGATGGTGACATATCTTAGGTAGGCTAATAATAAAACCAAGAAAACACCGCTGTTTACCTTCTTAATGTTGCCACAACTCATTTTAAAAAACAGGGAAACGCGAGATTTGCAGCGCGATATCTAACTGTATGTATGTGTGTTGGTGTGAGCTCAGTGTTAGCCACAGTCTTCCTGCTACGGATCGTCTGTTAGATCAGCTCTGATCCGCGTTACTGTCCTCACTGTTCGGCGTCATTTAATAACGTTACACCAAGTCTCAGTGACATATACGCTGTATTTCCCTCTCCTTATTTTAGAACAACACCGTGTTAGGAGACATGACGCTACATTTTATAAACTAGTATTCTACTTAATAAGGTAATGTTTTATATATTATTTGTATGCCGAATTTTACGGAATACCTTTATTATTCATAATGGAGAATGTTGGGCCTCGATTCTTGCGTATTTTAGTCAGCAATCCATTAAAGATAAAAATGTGAAACATTTTGAAGGGGGTTTGGTGTGGTAGGCTTCGATGGTGGTTTCTTATCTATGCTTATAGATGGGTGTTACAGCTGAAATGTCTTTATGATCTGACTGAAAGGGGTTTGCAGATAATGGTTTTAGCAACTTCCTGTTTTCTGTGCAAAATATCAGCTACTGCACTTATCTTAAAGTAAGCATTTGTCAAATGTTTGGTGCCTACTTCATTTTGCCTGTGTTTACGTTTTCCAGCAGGTTCTATGCTCCAACTACGGACCTCTGAAGAAGAACAAAGTAGTTGTGAAATTTCCCAGCTCAGACAAGCCGTGTTACAAAACAATGACAGACTCCTTGATGAGATGCTCTGCCAAGAAATCTATAAGAAAGTCATCAACTGCAGAGGAGGCTGGGGCATTGCAGGCACGCCTCTGCACGCCGCCGTGTCCAAAGGCCATCTGGGCTGTCTGCAGGTTCTGCTAGCCCACGGCGCCCAGGTAGACTGTGCGGATGTCAAGGCTCAGACGCCTCTCTTCGCAGCCGTTCGTGGGAAATACCTGGACTGTGTCTTAGCGCTCCTCAGAGCTGGCGCCAACCCCAACGGGAGCTCATCCAACAACTGCTCCCCTGTCCTCACTGCGGCTCGGGAAGGAAATGCAGAGATATTACTGGAACTGCTTAAACACGGCGCAGAGGTCAACTCCCGCTCCAAAGTCTTGCTCTGGACTTCCAGTGCAAGGGTGTCCAGCGGGCCGCTGTACCTGGCTGCTGTTTACGGACACATGGAGTGTTTCAAACTGCTGCTCCTCTACGGCGCAGACCCAGACTACAACTGCACAGATGCAAAGCTGCTGAGTTCTATCAAGCAGCCCAAAACTGTGCTGGAGATGTGCCTCAGGCACGGCTGTGGGGTGGAGTACATCCAGCTTCTGATCGACTTCGGTGCAAACGTCTACCTCCCTACGCTGATCATCGAGAAGTCCACCAAGCAGAACGAGGCCGTGGAGCTGCTTCTGGAGGAAAGAGGTACTGAGTCACATTATGATTATTATTATTATTATTATTACAGGTCAGCTCTTTAAACTCACTGGATGGTGCTGTTCTCAAAATGGAAGACCATTGCATACTTGGTACACCTTTATTTTGTGTGTCTGTAATTTCTGAATAATTCCTGAATCATTTCCTGGTAAGTTTCCCAGAAAGGACAGTGTCATTTAGTACTAATTATTAGTGGCAGACTTTCAATGAGATGAACTGTTAGTGTAATCCTAGACCGAGTTTCAGTCGGTGCACAGCTGATCATAAGAACATGTTCAGTTTGTCTCCAAGATACAGTTCTGCATATGTGAAGGAGAATAATGTTTCTAATAATAAATGAATAATGATGCTTGGGTTTACATTAAAGCATCTCTAACACTTTACACATTGTGGTAATGCAAAACTTATTTTAAATTACATTGCAACGATCTTCTAGTTTAAATTCATTTCATTATAAAAATGTTTCAGAGATTCATCTGCGTACCACTAGAGGGAGCTTGTGTCCCACCAGTGGTACACGTACCATAGTTTAAGACCCAGTGAATTAGGGTCTTCTCTCAGAGGAAACTATTTCCCCTACAATCACAGCGAGGACACCATGGTAGCTTCTTGGTGTCTGTAATTGATTACAGCTGCAGGACACAGTCACACTGTTCAGACACTGATAGCCACTGAGGAAGGACAAGGGCTACCTCTTCCTCATTAATCCTGCAGACAATCCTCTTAAGCATGCAGGATTGGATTTTCACATTAGTGTAAGTTTGTGTGTGAGCATGAATATTCAAGAATCCAGACAAAGTCTCATTAACACGTTTTCAGATCTTTCCTGCTGTTTACTCGAATGGTTAACGAAGACCACTGAATTGAAAGCGTGGCGATAGGGTTGAAGTTAAAAAAGCAGACGAGCGACTACCCGTGTTAAAGGACCCCTGTTCGGCAAGGCCATGTTATTTTTGCAGCACTTAAATGGGAAGATGAAACATCTCTTGCAGCCACTAAAAATATCCCTGTGGCCTCAGACGGATCTTGTGCACTGAAATGAAATAAGAGTGGGTTTAACTTTTTTTCTTCCTCTCGTCTCCAGGAAATCCAAAGGCCTTGACTTCACAGTGCCGCCTCGCTGTCCGAAGATACCTCAAAAAGATCAACAAGATCCACTGTATCGACCAGCTGGAAATGCCAACAAGTCTAATCAACTTCCTGCAACACAAGCCAGTCCCAGTCACTGTTCTGTAGCTGCGTGAGCCCGACGCACATTATACAGTCATTTTTATTTGAGCTAAAGCTTTTGTTTTATTTGTAGACTATGGTCTACATTTATTCTTTTTTTTTATTACTTCTGTGTGTTCACATGCTCTGTTAAGACTGATTATTATATCAGAGAATTAAATGTGTGGATCAGTGGTGTGTACTTGTGTTTTATTATTAGTGTTTACCCTGCAGCTACTGGAAGAAGACCTCTAAAGGAAGCTGTTTCTTGGAGTTATACTGTTTGTCACATGTTCATCACAAGTTAGTTTGTTCTTTTAGAAGAGCTGTTTGCTCCTGTGAGAAAGCTCACACACAAAACGCCTCAGTCTTTCGTTGTACCAAGAAGTCATTGACTTTGAAGTTTAAGAGGTTTTATATATATACATGAGTCCAGAGCAACATGTACCAATCAGAGACAAAAAGAATACTATTTCAAGATAAAATCTCAGGGGCTTCTGTTTAGGTTTTGCAGGATCTGCAAGTAAATATTGAATATGAATGTCATGTCAGAGCATTAGTCTCTCTATAAAAGGCAGATGGATGATGAACATTAGAAACCATGAGGTGAAGCAAATTGAGAATCACTTGGTTGTTTAATTATATAAATACTTCACAATATTCAGCATTAACTTAAGCATTTAAGTAATTAGATATCGACCGCAGCATGTGATTCTTCAGACTGACCTGTAGATGGCAGGAGACCGTGCCCTAAAGAGAAGAAGGCACTACATTTGGTTGAAAAGGGGGCTTTTGTTTCGAGTTTGTTATAGAAGAGGACAAAGTCAAATATGTTAAAGTATGATATCTGAATTAGTGGCTCCTCATTAAAGTTACAATTGTGTAGATACATTTGGAATTTCATGTTTCAGTACATTGTAATCACATTGTACCTTGCTGCTTTGCAGTGATAATGATACAGCAGGCTAGGCTAAGCTAAATCTAATCATTCACAGGCGGTCCCATAAATCACCAAATCCAACACCAGACTTCAAGTATTACCGTCATGAGGAAATACAAAAACTGGAAGACGTAAACTAAAAAATAACATTCATTTTCAATTTTCAAAAAAATGATTCTGAAAAAAGAAGAAATAAAAAAAAAAGTACACCCTCCAAGCAAAACATTCACAAACTCTGGAATCTGGAAAATATTCCTAAAATATTCCTAAATCCATTCCTAAATTAAATATCTGCCATTTGAAAAAAAGTGACAGCTGCTCTTAGAAAATAACTGCTAGTGTGAAAATAAAAGACATTACCTATTCAAGTCCAGCCTCCTCTCAACATGTTTTACAAAATAGTTTCTGTTATCATTTCTGAATTTCAAGTAGCAACAATTCAAACAAAATGGATAAACAGTGTTTCAGAATAAAACACTTCATTTGGTCCCCTTTTTAAAAAACTGAGGTCAGCAGCACTGCGATGACATCATGGCCGATGGTTCCGTTGACATGGCGACGTCAGCCCAGCCCCACGTCTAATGACATCATCACTACGAAGCCCAAGATGGAGGTCCAGGATGCCAGCTTCCCATTTCCACTGCGGACAGCAAGTTGGAGAGAAGGAGTGTGAGATCAGTTTCACTCTTTAATCTGCCTGTAACAACAACTGTCATCCACCCCCTGCCTAAATCTACTTCCTCCTTTTCCTCCTCACCTGATTTGAGCCTCAGGTATGATGTCATCCACCACCACGTAAACCATGGCCCCGGCAGCAAACGCCAACGCATATGGCAACAAAGGTTCTGCCAAGACAACGGCGGCGGCGCCCAGCAGCCCAGCAATAGGCTCTACCATCCCGCTCAGCTGGCCATACCTGCGGAAGACAGTCACAGTCCAGTTACAGCGTCCACACACACACACACACACACACACACACACGTTTTCCTCACCAGAAGGCTGTCCATGTTGAGACCCCTGAACCCCGGAGCGGCAGGCTCACTGCCAAGCCTTCTGGGAAATTCTGGATGCCAATACCGATGGCCAAATTTCTGAGGGGACAAAAAACAAAACAAACAACACCATCAGACCATAACTCTATTATAAATATTAACATCCTACCTCAGCAGGGACTATAGTATATCAGGGAGCATTCGGCATTCAATCTGTGATCCTGCTCCTGATCCTGGGGGCATTGGCAAGAATCCACCGGCCCTCAGCGAAAACAACCAATCAGAGCCAAAAAGGTAGCTGATTGTTGAGTGTCATTTCCAGGTTGTCAAATGTGAGTGCTGGGAAGAAGACTCAACAATCAATTATCTTCAAGCCTCCAACTGAAGTGTTTTTCTTGGTTTCTTTCCTGCTGGCCCGCTGGATTCTTATAAATGCCTTGAGGAACCCAGGAGGAGCCAGAGGAAGCTGATTTTTTCACAGATTATCTGTCTTGTGTACTATTGTCAGGATATAGTGAAAGTTTCAGCAAATACGACAAAAAGTTATTTGTATAAAAATTACCTACCTCAGCTTTGCTGTCATTTGTACATACCCAGAATTTACCAAATATTTTAAACCTTTCTTCTAAAATGCCCAATTAATGCTCCTGTATTCCTCAATTTTCTCATTCTTTACCCACATTCAAGTATCAGTAGGAACTGGGAAATATTTTATTGGTATCTGGTGTATACAACTAAATGATACTGTGAATCACAGGGTGTGTTATCAGATTAATAAAATGGGAGAGTTCCACAGATACTGACTGCCTAACATCTGCCACTGCTCTCTGCAGTACTGTAATGGAACCACTAGATGTCAGCAGCACACAGCAACAGCACCATGTTGTTACCATGACCCTAAACACACCAAACCTTTAACTAACCCAACCATATTAACGTTAACCTATGCTTAACTATCTCAAGGCTTATACTGACAAAAATACAATTTTTAATCGTATGACTAACAAATGTTTGGAAGACCAGTCACAGTGCCTCTAAACACATCATCCTGGTAGGATTCAGAATTTGGTGTGCAGCTGTGTTGGTGTACAGAATGCCTGCAGGTTTTCCATATTCAATAGCATGTGCCCTGACACTGAAAACAACAGGGACTAAAGATACTTGAATTGCCAGTGTATTAATACAGATCTTACCTGGCGCTTTCAAAAGTAGCAGATGAAGTCTTTCCAATAGCTCCGAATCCAACCCCCACGGCCAAACCCTCTGCAGACAGAAAGACACAGACGACTGATTTTTATGATCACTCCTTTGACTTCTTTGAAGCACATAGGAAAATCAACATTTTAATAAACAGTAAAAGGCAAAAATAAAAAAAAACACCATGGGCCTGGAATGACCTGTGAGTTACTTCATATAGCACATGAAGGCTTTGGACTGTTCTTTCAGACAGACCACTGTGATCTACTTACAGGAACAATCCATGGGGGATCTCCACTCCGAGGAATGTATTCTCTTATGCAGCCTCACCTTCAATAATCCTGTTTCTTCTTCTCTTAGATGAAACCTGCTACTGAGGTTTCATCTACCTAACCATACCTACAGAGGCAGCCCTTGTGGAACATAGACTGTAGAATGAAACATATTTGTTCAACTACCGATCCATGGCTGAGAGTAAATACTGAAAGGTTCTACCTCTAGAGCTGCGACATATGGAGTACTACAACAGGAGAGCTACATAAGAGGGAGTGTGATCACTAAGCCTGCCTCTGTACACCCTGAGCAGCATCCCTCTCCTCTGATGTCCCATTTGTCTCATTCCAAATGCCTGTCATGCATACTTAAAGTAAACATAATTCAAATTGAAAGTGAAAAGGTCACGGTGCATGCTGTATCTATGAGTGTATTTGTGTGTGTGTGTGTGTGAGAGAGAGTCAGATCTGAAGGCTATTTTGCATTTCATACCAAAAAGGCAACAACAATTGTTACGGCTACTTCACACGCTGACGAGCGGTCGCGTCCTGTCATGTCCTTCACAGCTAAGATCTGCTAAAACATGCTAATTTCCTGTTTTTGTTCTTTATGCGTGATGAGAGCAAGCATCAATTTGCCAAATCATTGAAGCTACTTTCTTCCTTAAACTAATTTTTTTTTTTTGACTTAACAGCTTATTTTGTAGTTCTAATAGTATGCAGACATGGCATGCTAACTTGTTAACACTCTTGTCAGCATGTAAACACCACATAGCTGTAGAGCTAAGCCTAAATGACCTACTGTGAGAGGGTCAGAGAGGATGAACCCTTTTGATTTTACATAAGACCACGGCCACCTCTGGAGCTACCTTCAGACCCGTGTTTTTGCCCGACTAGTGGTAACCACAGATGTTTCTCCTCGTGTTTCTGTTGCTTAATGAGCATTAGGATGCTTTCAGACAGCAGTAATTACTGCGTGTTGCAACCAGCCACAGCCAGTGCTGTTCTTTGTTCTTCTTTCAGTTCTGATATAATGGATGTAAGCAGCATTTACCCTAACCTCTATGCATTGTTTTCAAGCAAAAAGCCACTTCTCGCACATGTTGTCACATATACCTAGCATTAAACCACGCCCATAGCTCATGCTGTAGCTGCCAGTAGCTTCTCCAAGGTAGCTGGTTTACACTGACTGACACAAGCACGTAGCTTGAAGCATGTCAAGATGTAATTTCACATGATTTCACAAGTTCAGCTGCTTTACAAAGTCAGAAAAAGCACAGGACTCGGCCAAGGAATAATCCTGCACATATCGCCCTGGAAAACGGCAATGTGTGGTTTTTACACTTTGGTTTTTGTACCAATTAAATCAATAAGGTATGTGTCAATGAGTGAGCTTGATTTACAGCGGTTTCTTTTTCCAGTCATTGTGCTGACCTCCTCAACTTGGCAAGAATCATCAACATAGATGACTCTTTGCCACTGCCTACCTTAGCAGCAGGTCTACCGCCATGTTTACATTGGAAACAAGTGAGTCGGCAGTAACTGCTGACTGTATGAAGATTCAAAAAATGACTTACTTTTGCTTAAACTATTTGTCTTTTCATTCGGAAATTGAGTGTGTCATAAGCAAGAAATAAAAAGTGGCACTTCTATGGCTTCATAGTATGTATTAATATGTACTGTATATTATATTATATATATATAGCAGTAATTAACAGAAATGTGTGTTTTAATGTAAGTAGATCCAGGAAAGGAAGGGTAATGAACTGATCTGTGGCACACTTATTAAATAACATACATTTTAATCTTCAGCATTAGGGGAGGTTATCAAGTATTTTCAAGTCAAAAGGTTGAAGTCCAAGTGAAGATTTACTTTATCAATCTGTAATGATTTTGTCAAGTTGAGTCAAATGTCATCAGATTTGATCTTGCGTCTACAACTCTGGTAATTAGCTATCTGTTCTGTTGTACACAAGAACGACTGATCTCTGTCAACCCCTTCTCTCCATTCCTGTGTATCCTCTATCTGTCTGTCTGTTTCTCTCTTTTTCCCTGAAATATTAATAGCCTACATCAAGCTATACTGCCTTAAACCAAGAGAGAGTGACAAAGATAAGGTAAAGAGAGAAGGAGAGAAGTAAGAAGATGCAAAAAAGAGAAGAAAGAAATAACAGAAAGAGCATGCAAATAGAGTGAGAGATTGGTATCCTGATGTCCCTGCAGCTGCAGACACCCTGGGTCCAGAGACCACTTCATAATAATCTAACACCTGTCATTACCTCTGATAACAACTCACAACGATACTAATCAAATCCCAATTGGCCCATTACAGGCGGACATACTGTAGCACTATTATGGGCAAAAGCACCCTTCTGTTACATTGCGGGTCCCCTTTACTATTCATCTCAATCCTCTGGAACTATCTGAAATGCCATGGGGCCGTAGAAACTCTATCTGCGGTGAAAAACAATGAACTGATTTTGAATAAAACATTAGCTGAGAGAGCTTTAGTGTTTGGCACAGCGAGTGCAAGGATATGGGCAGACTATACCTTTTTTCAAATCTTTTCAAATCAAATTTAAGATTAAGATTTAAGACAAAAGACCACAACAACCAATTTCCCTTTTTTTTCCTCGTCTCCAAGTTCCAAACACGGATGCATTAAATTATTTGGTAAGGAGATGGTATCACCTACTTTATATTACTGACATTGTCCTCCTAATTTTCCCCCCAAAAAATTATCACTGATGCTACTCTCTGTTGGATCTGTGGGGAAGTAAGAAAAATATTTGTATAATCTGCTCTCTTGGAGCAAGAATAAGGGTTTTCTGACAACAGCTGCTCACCTAAGGCACTGCTACAAGGCTGGAAATGTGAGTTGGGGGTTTGGAAGTGTTTTGCAAGTCCACTGAGCTGGAAGTTTTTGTTCCAAAACAGAGACCAGGGTTAGTAGGGGAGCACTTAACGCCCACACACCTGTCAGGTTTTACTCATGAGACTCATGTTTTAGTGTCCTTGCTGCATGTCATGGCCGTTAAATGAATATCTCATGGATTGTTAGAATATTCTGCACGCGGCACGCAATCTGCATGGGAGCAGAGCGCAGTGCCGTGGTTCCACAGCGAAGAACTCAAAACTTACATTTGATGTGACATTGATGTGACTTCAGAGTGTTGTCAATGTCCAACAACACCAGAATCCTTTCTTTGTATATTTTATTTGTGTTTCTGTCCTTTGTGAGTGAATGGTTGGAGGAAGAAGTCTACACAGAATTCTATGCTTTCCCATCACATTACAATCTTTTGGCAAATGGTTTTATCCGAAGTGACTTATACTTTTATTAACCCCGCAAGCGGCATGGCTCTAGGGATGCCAATGCTGGTTTGTCGGTGCACCACTTTGGTCCTGACAGAAATATTACATTAAACAGTGACTGGAAAGATTGCAATGAAATTTGGTACAGACACTCATGTTCCAGTCAGGATGAATTGTATTTACTTAAATCTTATTTTCATCAGGTCTGAATCTTAATTTGTCCAGTAAACTTTGGTTAGGACCAAATATCAGGAAAACTCAACATGCTTAACATGCTAAACTAAGATAGTGAACATGGTAAACATCTATATATTTTGACTTTAGCATTTAGATAGTGTCATTCACAGAGCTGCTAGCGTGGCAGTAGGGCCCCAGTCAGACCAATTTTAGCCCTATGTGACAAAAACAGCTCTCTCTCATTTATTTGAATGAGGGCAGTCTGGTGACGCAGTGGGGGTCCAAGTGGCTCCATCAAAGAAAAGAGGAGTCTTCTAGCAAAGTTTAATCTTGCTCAACTTTTGCCACAACACAATGTCATCTAGCAAAACGTTTCATTGCCCAATCAAATAGCTGGTAGATTCATTTGTAACATGAACAGGGTATTTCTGCTGTTTACCTTGCAATCGCATAGACAAGACAAAATAGGTCATAAAATGTTGCTAATTTGTTAGTGTTTTTTAAAAGCACACGCATTAAGTCTGAATAGTCCAGTAGAGAAGAAGCAGTGTCACTGGCAAACAGTGAAGACTGGTTGAGATTATTCTAGGGCCGTGTGAGTCTTCAATTCTGCCATGGCAGAAATGAAACCTGTGTCTGTCTATTTGTGCTTTTTTCACTCAGACTGGTTTTGAGCAAAAATGTGTGTACAATTGTGTGTGTGTGCAGCAGCTAGTATCCAATTCCTGTTTAATGTTCTATGCTCTTTTAAGCGAGTCTGACGATACTGCTGCTGACAGCCCATTGTCACAGCAGCCACTCATTTCCATCACACTTTCCTTTAATCTCCTCTCCTTCGTCTACACACTCCTTTTTCCACTGACTCTGCCATTACTGCGCCTTTTCTCGCCCAGCTCCCTCTCTTTTTTTTCAACTGCAGATCTGTGACGTTTTAAGTTAATTTTACTCCAATTTTTTATCTGTTTTTGGGTGAGATGTTTCTTTAAACCACATCAAAGTCTCCTCTCATCCCTTCTTATGTTGCTGCTTTTTCATCCTCCTGTCATCAGGGACTGCAAGGTGACATGTAAAATAATCTACCAGATCAAAAAATACAAATTACTTGATGAAAACCATGACTTAATCCTGTGCAATACATCTAAGGAAATCTAATAAGTGGTAACTCATCACTTATATTTTGTGCGACTCTAAAAATATTTCAGTGTGTGTTTGGTCATGATGAAAACTTAACTCTCCATTGATATACTTATTGTAAATTCTCAAATATTGCCTTAATTTCCCCCACTTCAGATCTGTATGGGC